TTCTCATTGAGCAGTCGCTAATAAGCCTCCAAGGAACCAACCCTACATTTTCCCGGAACACAGTTTGTAGGGTTACTTATTGAAAGGACACAGGCAGGCTAGTCTAAGTGCTTTTCAAGTCAATGTCTTTTACACTTATTTATTTGTTTATAAAAATATTTAAGCACCACTAATTCATTTTTTAAAGTTATAAATGTATATTTGTGATTGTTAGCTTAGCCTTTCCCCCTAGACTTCAAATGCAACTTCGCTCTTTCAAGCTAAGAGGAGTGGGTGTAAGAGAGAGAAGAGCTCTCTGGATCATTGGATGGGGCATGCTAGCATTGCTCAATGCTTTCCTGTCTGCATTTCTGAAACTTCCATTTTTGCAGCAAATAGCTGTGTGTTTGGGCCACTTTGGGCTGAATGAGGCACTGGTCTTGGACACCACTATGCTGCCCAAGCTTAATAACAGTGTGTGTGTGACGTGCACCTCTGTTGCTGGATTGTACTGGAGCACTAGAGAACAAGAAGCCACTCTAGATAAAGGAGGGGAGACTGTACGCTTGCTTTCATTTTTGATCTGGAATCTCCTGACACAGAGACCCAAATTAATGATTCTCTTCAGTCATTGGAGACAGCAGGTTACAAGCAGGGTGGTTGCGGAGGCAGGGAAATCCCTGCTTTTGGTCTAGGAGAGGGTAGGGAGTATGGTACTCTCCTATTTGTATATGGAAGCATTGTCCAACATGTTGATCAGGATCGACTTGTAGATCATGTGATTGTTTCTCGTCAATCTCTGTAGATTTCTCTCTCTTTCCAGAAACAGCCCTTTCTCTGAGGAGCCAGCGTGCAGGGCTTCTCTCTCTCTCTCTCTCTCTCTCTCAGAAGGAGGAGAAGGAGAAGCAAGTGAGCGGAGGTGTACGCAGATGTAGAGGCTGGGCAAGAGAGAGAAGCCCTGTGCACTGGCTCCTCAAGAGGAAGGGCTGGCTTGGGTCGAGAGAGAGAGAGAGAGAGAGAGAGAGAGAGAGAGAGATGGTGCTGGACATTCCAGGATCCAGCCCTTGAGGAGAGGACTGCCTTGTCTTCCCTCCCTGCTGACAAGCTCTCTCTCACTGAGCGCGGCAAGGCTTACTCCTGAGTAAACACACAAGGGAGTGGGGGCCCTTCTTGGCTGCTGCCATCCCACTCACACGGGGAGGGGTGGTGTGTGTGTGTGTGTGTGTGCAGCCCTGCGCACTGGCTCCTCAAAGAGAGAAAGGGCTGGTTTAGGTTTACTCGAAAGGAAGGAGTAGGTTGGATCCAGGGGAAAGGGCTTCTACAGGTTTCATCCAGTTCTTAAGGTGGTGCTTGAGGGCTGTCAACTCTGCAGTTGAGTTTATCCAATTTATGTTTCAAACTATGGGGGAAACCACTGTGGCTGACATGTGCCCCTGACTCATTTGAAAAACAGCAAGAGACTGGGGCACTTTAAAGACGAGCTTTTGTGAACTTTTGTGCATCATGTTCTGATTATGTAGAACCCTGTCCTCAATGTTATTTTCTTATGTTATTGCAAGTATACAAATTATGTATTTTTTAAAAAATATTGATTTATGATGAACTTTTCAGGTTTTATGGAAGGGATTATCATTTGTTACTATTTTTATCATAAGCCCAGCCTAGTATAATATGTTTAAGTTGAAGAATGACAATGGGAGAGTGTGGTAGATCACTGCCAGTTTTTGATATTGGGTGGTAGATCTCAGGCTACGTTTGGTTGGACATGCCTGGTATATAGCATGTGGTGAAGTTGCGGGGAGAGGTGGAGGAATGACTGACGTTGAGGCAGTAGAGATGTGCCCTCCCCTGACATTCATATATCTCTCTCTTTGCCTCGACTTAGGAAGCACCGGCGTGTGCGGGAGCGATCTAGGTCAAGCTCCTCGTCATCACAGTCTTCCCGCTCCTACAAAGCAGAGGAGTACCCCGAGGAGACTGAAGAGCGAGAGGAGGCTGCCCCTGGCTTTGACAAATCCCGCCTTGGGACCAAGGAATTTACGGGCCCAACTGATAGGGGCAGAGCCCGGGGAACCTTTGTAAGTTGTCCTTTTGGAGGGTGTGTGCTCTGGGCCCTTGTTCCAGGGTGATAAGTCAAAATAGTTTTGAATTGTGACAGAGCTGGAGTGTGGACAGGCACCTCCCAGCTTTTGAAAGGGGTTCAGTGTTAGGTGTTGGCAGCTACCCAGTGTAAGGGAGTCCTTGCTTATAAAATTTGTCTCCCCTCTTCCACATATTTACTGAGCACAACTTCAGGGTCTTTTTCAGAAGAAGTTTCCTATTTGTGGTGAAAGGGCAAACTTTTTTTTTAAACAATATGATATGATATACCAAAAGCAACAAAACCATAACATTATACTGCGCATCAGTTGCTCAAGGAAGTGTAAGGAGCCACACCCAGAGGCTCACATCCAGACCCAAAAATCAGTCAGAATCTGAAGGACAATTTAACCAAGAAGGGGCCTAGCTAATAGGTTGAGCCAAAAGGGTTGGGTTTGTTTTAGTAAATGGGAGTATTATAGCACCTCTCTGCCCAGCTATGTAATGCAAAAAGGGATCCCAAGTGCCTACGGATTTGTCATGTTTACTTAGCCCTCAAAATAGTGCTATTGGGTCAGTTTTTTTCTGGAAAGACAGTAGCCCACACCTTGAATACAGAAGTGTGATCTAGTGATGGGCAATTTCCATTCTATGTGTTGCTAAGAGAGTAACGATCAGGTCTGTGTGTGTAGTGCTCCAGAAATCATGACAGGCCATCCCAGGCCCAGCCAGATCCCCTTTCTTTCTGTTGCTCGCTTTTTGATGTTCCCTTTCTTCCTCTGCTCCTGATGACAGCAGCAGTTCCGGGCCAGGGGTCGTGGCTGGGGAAGAGGGACCTTCTCTGGCAACAGCAACAACAACAACAGCAGTGGCGGCAGCGGCAGCACCGACTTCCAGAAGCGGAGCAGGGAGGAGGAGTGGGACCCCGAGTACACCCCCAAGAGCAAGAAGTACTACTTGGTATGTGCCCTGGGGGTGAGATGGGCATGTGGCTGTGAGCTGCCTGCACAGAAGTTGTCCCTTCCACCAGGTGACAGGCCCCAAGTTGGTCTTGCCATCATTGTCTCCTCAGCCATGCAGCATTACTGGAGGGCTTATTCGCAAAATGCAGAGGCTGGGGGGGGGCATATTCCAGGGTGTTTATCCTCCCCTGCCTGTGTGGGAAATGTAGTAGCGGCCCCTGGGGAAAGGAGAGGGAGTGGACAGAGGTGGGGCCTTCTGGTGGGCTGTTGAGGAGCTCTGTATTTGTTGACTGACAAATACCTTTTTCTTTTTCTTCTTTTCCCTTTGCAGCATGATGACCGTGAGGGCGAAGGGGGTGAGAAATGGGTGAACAGAGGCCGGGGAAGGGGCATCTTCCCCAGAGGGAGGGGCCGTTTCCTGTACCGAAAATCGAGCACCAGCCCCAAATGGGCCCATGACAAGTTTAGTGGTGAGGAGGGAGAGATTGAGGATGATGAGAGCGGGGCTGAGAACAGAGAGGACAAAGAGGCCCTTCAGTCGGTGGCGGAGTAGCAGTCTCGACAAGTGGAAAGAGGGTCCTGAGACCCTGAAGCAGCAACAGCTGTTGGAGGGGGGACTCTGTCAGTCTGGACTGTAATTGATCCTTATTGACTAGTTGAATGTTCTTTTATTTTCTCTTTTTTAATTTTTCAGTGATCTCATGGAGGACAGTGGAGTGAGTTCTGCCCAATACTATTGGCAATCAGTTTTTGCGCGCTCGCTCTTTTTAATGTGATGATATATGTGGGAAATTAATTCCCTGCTCTTTGTTTTCCCCCTTTCTTCCTGTTTGTGGATATTCTTTTTTAGAAATCCTTTATTTTAAGCGTTTGCATATATATACATATAAAAACAACACCCCTTAAAATGGTTAACTTCAGAAAGGCGTTTGTGGTTCTTACATATAGAAGAAAAATGCATGTGAATAAACATCTGACTAGAAACTGTTGGGACCAAACTCTGTGGTGTTCTTAATTTAAAGGAACTTTCCCTCTGCTTGAATTTGGAGTCGTTTCTCTTTAAAGAATCGCCTTTTGTTTTTTCCCTTTTTGTGCTGAAGTTCTAAAGTGTAGCATGGCACAGTTGAGGGGGAAGGACCCAAGCTCTCCCCACCACAACCACCAAAATGCAAAACTGCTCTTGGCTAATGTTAGCAGCATCTTGGTCCGTTCACTCTAGATTTCTTGCATACCCTCTTTGCCTCCAATTGTGAATCTGAACACTATTTTTGGGGTCACATAGTTTTCTAAGAAACTTGTGAATATACTAGGTTTTAAAAAAGAAAACCAGACATATAAGCATGAGAAATGAGGATTTTTTCCAGTATTTTTATTAATCTTTTTATAAAGCAATTTTGACTCACTTCTGTGATGGCCATGGGTAAGTTGCTGACAGTTGGTTTTGTGATTCTCTTCAGCTTTAAATCCGCAGCACTCGAAACATGTCGGGCAGGTGATGTGCTCACTCTCCCAAGCCAGCTACAGAGACTGTAGTTGCCCTATTGAGAAATCTGTCCCCCTGGAAATGAGACTTTGCAGCGCTTCTCTTTGTTCCCCTTTTCCTCTCTGTGCTATAAATAGAGCTCATTTTGTGGGACTGGTGCAGTTCTTGCTTAGCAAAGCCTGCAAGCTTTTGTTTTGACTCCTTGTTCAAATAAAATTACATTGAAATGGACCATGCAGACCTTTTTTTATTGCTCCTTTTATTGAGCCTCCACCTCACCCCCACCCCAAAAATATGGTTGCAACATAACCTTACATCAAACAGGGCCAACATGATAGTGTTGGGCAAAAGAAAGAAAAAAAGAGTTGTTCAAAGCTCCTTAAGGGTAGCAGAAAAATGCTCAACTTGCCACCCTTGATCCCAGTAGCCATATGTTTAACATTGCAAAGAAGTGTGTGCATCCACAGAACACGGTACATCTGTAGGGCTCTCCCTACCTGGTTGCCCAAGATTCCCAAATGAGTGGAAGAGCCTCCATCCTTTTCTCACCCAAAATGCCTAGCTGATGTGGCCTTGTAAAGCACTTTCTTCCATCTCACAACCCCTGGTTGTTTTGAAGTCTCCTGTAAAAAAGAGAGTAAGTGGGGGAGCAAAGTATTAGAACTGGAGGCTGCATTTGGGTTCTACAGATGCCAGTGTAGAAGCCAATGCAACGTGAAGGGGAGAGAGTGACCAGGCAGTGCATTAACAAAAATGCCTGTAGGCTTTCTAGATACTGTAATTGGCTTTGATCTTTTGTCAGCCCATCAACTCACATAAGGCAAATGTTAAGGATGGGTCCATGTGCGTACTTGGGAGTTTTCTTGCTTTGTGGAATATTTCCTTTCTGTGAAACACACCTCTGCACACACAAAAACCCTGAATGACCTGGTCTATAAATTATGCAAATTAAGAAAAAAGCCTTTTGTTTGGGAGGAGGGTGCACTTAAGAGAGAACTGTTCAAAAGACTTGAGTGGCGTATTAGGTAGGTGCAAAGTTTAAACCCTTCGGGAAACTGTGGGGAATATTGGCGAGCCCTGTTCTTTCCAGCAGCTATGCTTTTCCCCCTTCCAAGTTTTTAATTAAAACACCAGTCAACCTGCCCTGTTGCCTGAGGCCATAATTAGAAGTGAATATAAAAATGTGCTGGCAGTTCTCCGAGCTCCTGTGCTGGGGCACTGTGGCGCCTGCTGGGCAAGGCAGGTGCTGCCAAGGAGTCTTCTGGCTCAGATCTTTTAGATAATTCATTGCACTTCCATTCATTCTTCCTCTCTTTCCTCTGAGTGAGGGCTTACCCTGGACCCTTTAGGTTGCTGCACAACAAACAGGGATTATGAACATTTCTGTCCAAACAACAAGTCTTCTGCACCACAGAGGCTCTGGATTGTGTCATGTTGAAGGCAGCTTAACACATTTAAGAAGTGGAAACAGCAATTCTGCAAAAACGCAGCTGGTCCCCTGATTTTCTCTGCATGGTGAAGAGAAGATTTCTATCCCCTTCACATGTTACAGGGTCTGTCTACTGTGTTCTCAACACATGAAGTGACTAAAAAAAACCACCAGCCTGCGAGTTGTGCTTTATGAGTCTCTGGGTCTTGAAATTTCTTAAATGGCACCATTCCCAGGCTGGACCTTGGATGGCAACCAATCAGTTGAGATTTGGGTTTACCCTGTCCTACCTTTAAAAATTCAAAGTAGGGACAGTCCAAAGTTCAAAATGACAAGCTTTAGTGGCTTTAAGGCAGCCGGGTGGTTTTTAAAAAAGCAACGCTAGAATGGTATTCTTGACCCAGCCCATCTGACCCTGGTAGAAAATGATTAGCATTGGGCTTTTCTGGATCTGGTGAATGATGGCTGCAGACCCTACAAAGAGCTGCTAGAACACCTTTTTGCAGGCTACCCCAATGGTGGATGATTTTGGTCGACCAATATTACTGAGTGTGGCAAAGGTGAAAGATGTATTTGAGATTAGAACTAGTACTTGAAGTGTGCTTGACAGCAATTCTACAGAAAACCAGCCTCGGATGCCAGAGCATTTGAGTCATGTTCTAATCAAAAATCCATATTGGGGCAATATCGTTTGTTATTTGAGTTCTCCAAAACTTTACACCAGACTAAATAGGTAGCTAGTTGGTCCTTTGTGTGTCTCAGGTGGGGTGGGGTCCAGAAACCACGATGCAGTAACACTTTAATTACAGTCAGTCAAATTATCACAGGGTTGTGAGCAAGCTTTAGTGTAGAATTCTCCAGCAGGCTGGAGTAAAGTGCACACCAAAGTGCGGGCAGGAGTTCAACATGATGTAAAAGTCCCTAAAACGTACAACGTGTAAGAGTCTTTAAGGTGGAATGCAGGAGGAGCTGTTTAGGCATAATTAGATCATTAAAATGGGGGAGCAACTTTCCTTGCTGTGGCATTAGTCCCGTGGGGATCTTGTACCAAGCAAGACTGATCCATTATTCCTGTACAACACCTCTGGTAGCCTATCTTGAGACTTTGAATTCAGACTTTGGGGCACAACATACCAAACATCTCCCTGTCCCGTTTAACATCCAACCCGAAAAGGACTTCCAAGAACCAGTAATGCTTGTTCTTGGCTTTGACATTTGGGTCCTGCTATAAAGGTACTGGGGGACGCGGGTGGCGCTGTGGGTAAAAGCCTCAGCGCCTAGGGCTTGCCGATCGAAAGGTCGGCGGTTCGAATCCCCGTGGCGGGGTGCGCTCCCGTTGCTCGGGTCCCAGCGCCTGCCAACCTAGCAGTTCGAAAGCACCCCCGGGTGCAAGTAGATAAATAGGGACCGCTTACTGGCGGGAAGGTAAACGGCGTTTCCGTGTGCTGCGCTGGCTCGCCAGATGCAGCTTTGTCACGCTGGCCACGTGACCCGGAAGTGTCTCCGGACAGCGCTGGCCCTCGGCCTCTTGAGTGAGATGGGCGCACAACCCTAGAGTCTGTCAAGACTGGCCCGTACGGGCAGGGGTACCTTTACCTTATAAAGGTACTACTCTCAAGGTGGCTCAGTTTTTTTACAAAGTCCTTATGATTTGAGGGGCAAAAGGACTGTTTAGATGTAAGAAGGGCGTGGAAGCATTGTTCTAAGGCAGACTTCCTGAACCTCGACCCTCCAGATGTTTTTGGCCTACTACTACCATGATCCCTAGCTAGCAGGACCAGTGGTCAGGGATGCTGGGAATTGTAGTCTCAAAGCATCTGGAGGGCCGAGGTTGAGGAAGCCTGTTCTAAGGGTTGAGTTTTCTGGGTGGGACTCTCCCAGGTCTAGGAAACTGGAGCAAAACCTATTCCCTCATCTGTCTCTAAAGGAAACTTTCTTTGGGACTGTCCTTCCGTAAATCCCCTGGCCAGGAAGCTAGAAGTTACCTACCTTGAGCAATGTGTTGCACTAATGGGTCAGCTGGTTGCCCATTAAATGTTAGGTGCTTATTTTATGGCACTGTAAATTGCCAGAGAACAAACAGGTACTTCTGCTTGTGTGGGGTCAGGCAAAGTTGGGATGACATCATCTCAATAAAAAAAGCCTAATTTGTGGGTGGTTGGCTGCGGGGGTGGGGATGGGGAGGCAAAATGTTCACATACAGAGTTGCATTCATGTCAACTAACTTACTGTGCATTTAGGTTCCGTGGCACCAAAGAGATAAAATAGATCTAAGTCTGTACTGGGGCAATACCTTTGTTAGGTCAGTCCAAATGGAATAAAACAGTGTGCAAGCTTTTGAGTTCCCTGGAACTCTTTATAAGCCTGGATGCTTAAAGGGAAGCAGGTGTGTGTGTTGGTGTTTAAGAATTAATGTGTGAGGAGCTAGCAAACATTCAAACGAGGTACTTTCAGGTGCCTGCTAGTTTCACGTTTCACTGCAGCCTCTGAGTCTAGAAAGAGCAAGTTCATAATGGCCTAAATGAGGGGGATGCGTCTTCCCAGGAGGCTGTGGTGTAGAATGAAACCGGAAAACACCTAGAAGTGAATGGCAGCTGACTCCTCCCCTGTTCAATCTTAAAACTCACCAGGTGTAGAGATGTTGTTCTTGGTTTATTTGATTTGTCACCTAATACAAAATCTCTCTATGTGAGTTACACAATTAAAAAGCAGCCACCAACAACAAATTAACAATATCCAAACACACAGAGAGAAACAGCAATTATTATCATAATGCCTCGGAAGTCTGGGAGAAGAGGTACCTCTTAACTTGGTGCTGAAAAGCTGTTAATGTTGGCTTCAGGCAGGACTGACTGGAGAGAGCATTCCACAGACAGGAAGCCAGCACTGAAAAGGCCTCCCTTTTTGCTACTCTCTGAAGCTCTATTGGAGAGACCACCAGAGAAAGGCCTCAGGTGATGACCACACTGTGCAGGTACGTTTAAGTCAACAGCCGCCTTTCTTTTTCTCTTTCCCCTTCAGGTCCCCCCCCCCCCCCTGACATCAACACCACTACTTAACATGACTTTAGGGGTATATGTCAATGTTAAAAAGGAAAGAGGGAGCTATAGTCAATAAATCAAATGTGGCTGTCCTGTAGTCCTTCAGATGTTGCTGGACTGCAACTTCCACCATCCACATCTGCTGGCCATACGGACTGGGGATGATGGGTGTTGTAGTCCAAGACATCTGGAGGACATCAAGCTGGGTTAGGATAGCCCAAGTGAACAAGACACAATTCACCTGGTGCCTAAAAGCTAACAATGAATGTGCAAGGCAGGTCTCCCTTAGGAGACAGCCCTGTTGTGATGATGCAACGCTAGGAAAGGCTCTCCAGTTATCATTCGCTACCCAGCTGACCACCTATTGTTAGGTTTGGTTCTGTGAAACCTCCATTGCCCCATTAGCTTGATTTGTGATCTAGAACGGCTTTCCCCAACCTGGAATCCTCCAGGTGTTTTGGACTACAACTTCATTTTGAATGCCTATAATTGTGCTTGGCTGCCTTGGGGCTGGACACTAGATTTTATTAACTGGTACGCCTCAGGCAGGGTTCTTGTAATAAGTTAGATTCAGGTGCTAATTGGAAAGACATTATCAGAGTTGTTGCATCTTAGTTATGCTGCGTTATTGGACTATTTGAATAAAGCATTCCAGTGTCAATCAAGACACATTTGTTGGGAGCAGGGGAAGGGCATCAAGACAATTCAACAGCCACAAATGGAGGGAACTGAATGCATTGAGGAAATGACATCTTACTGTTATTTCCTTGCATCCTCGGGCCAAGTGTGTCATTATCTGTCATCCCAAGACAAGTTCAGTAACCCGATCTGTCACCCAAGTGCTTGGGGAGCGACAGGCCTGGACAAATTCCTCCTGTCCATTATGTTTCAGGCAGGATGTGAACTATTCCAGTCTTGGTCATCTGCAGTGCCGTCACCCAACTTCTATGGACACTGTTTGGGGTCTGAGCAATAAAAGCAGGCTGAGTTTCTGTGTGGGTGTGCCCTAGGAGCTCTTTATGACTTTTTCGTGTCCCATAGATACCCCAGCCAGTTGTTGATGCAAAGAGGGGCTCAAGTGAGGCAGGGACACCAGGCATAAACAGAATTAACTGCCACTTTCTGCTAACTGGAAGAGGATTTTCCCCCAATTGCAGGTATTCAAAAGATCTTGGCCTTCCAGTATTTTGAGTTCTCCAAAGCATCTATGCTAGAACTGCAAAGGAATCCATAATCATACTATGGAAGGGGTGTTTTTCATCCCAGCTTTACCACCATCTCTGTGCGTAGGTATGGCCTCCAAGCATATTTTCCAGAGGAAATGTGTAAATTGAGAAGTTAAATGTCTGGGACTCCTTGTGTGGGAAGCAACTTGAGGCAGGGTGGGAATTCATTACTGTACAGAGGCAGTCCTCTTCATGGACACATCCTCTATTTGAAGGGCTGTCTACTTTCAAGATTTAAAAAAATAATCAGAGAGGAGCACAGGGGCCTTGAGGTTGTGCACATCTCACAGTGAGCAGCACCTGGGCAGCAAAATGAGCACTAGGTGGAACTATGGTGGAACAACAGTGGAATAGACTGTATTTAACTTATAGCAATTGTTTCTAAATATGTATCTATGCATATAAGTTAGCATATGCAAATTTGACGCCAGAAAAGGTCCTCTCTTGTCCTTTTTTGTGTGATGTGTTCCTCCTTTTTTGGGGGGCCAATGCCTGAGTGGCTGTTCCCGAGGGCTGCTGTGCCGCTTGTGAGTGTGTGCAGGGCTGAAATTGGTCTTCGGCACAGCAATTTGATCCAGACTTCAGACCAATCAGCTGCTAAAGTTTACTAAACTGTCAGGAGGAGATTCACAAAGCAAAAGTAGCCATTTTGGAACCTAATAAAACCCCCAAGATCTCTGTGAGGGATGCTTCCAGATCGGTGTTTGATGGTGGATCCTCAAACAAGCAAGTTTTTTTTGTAGTGCCCACATGACATAATCAACATCAAAATCCTGTATCTTCTTCCCCTCATGATCGGGTTAACCTCTCTTTACATTTCCAGGGAAAATTCAGCAAAGAAGTAAAAAACACTTGCCAGCTACTTGCTTGTGATATCTCAATAACCCATCTGCCAATTAACCTGCCACACCTGGACCAGAAGCATCCAAGGATCAAGTATCAGAAATAGGGAGCAAACTTTCAATTGCCCAGTAATCAGGCTGGTGGTTAACCAGAGCATAGGGGGGGGGGAGGTTTGTTGCTAAAGCTAGACCATCTGCACTGATGCCAGTCTTCAAATGGTGTGTGGGTAAAAGCAGCAGCAGCGCTTTCAAAGACCACCTTTTCATCTGTTCTGTGCAGGATTCAGGTTACACCAAGGGATAATGGAATATCAAAACACACAGCAGCAGATTCACCCCTTTAAAAAAATAAAAAACAGAATCCAGAAGTTCTCTAGATCTGTCTCCAGCAGGAAGTGAAACACCCAGGTTCCTTGTGAAAGATAACAGCGAATAAAAATGCGGTGTTTTTGCACTGCTGGAAATCGGTACAAAAGAAAGGAACTCTGATCATGCACAGAGGGCCTATTGAGTAACCACACCCAGCTCCTGAACAGCTGCCAGGTCAAAGGGTGTGACTTCAAGTTGGAACAGAGCTCCAGGGCCTCTTTTTATTTTTAGATACGGCAAATGCTCTGACGGTACTGAGCCATATTGTACAACAATATTGATACAGCCATTTAATGCTTCCCTGTCAGGCCTTTCCTCTCCTCTCAGTGACATTTAGAGTGTAAGCTGCTCAAGTCAGGGGTTTGTCCTTTTAGTTAGGGTAACTTGCCAAGGAGTGGCTCTATATAAATAGTAAGTTACAATGGCAGAGATGCCAGTTTTCATACATCCATTTTACCCTGAGGCTGGGAAAGATGGTGTGCCTAAGTAAGGCTGCTTCCCCCGCTCAGGTGCAACCACCCACACTTCAGGCCTGCACGTCAATGCTTACCTCCCTCCTCATCACAGGTAGGCTCTGCCCATCTATTTGGGGCAAGCAAACCCCCTGGCCTGGCCTACCTGCCCGGTAGCAGCCTGGAGCCCTCCCTGCTCCTTCCTGGGCTCTCTCAGGAACCCGCCTCGCCTGTTTGCCTAGTCTGGGCTTGTCCCTCCCTTCCGTGTGTGGCAGGCTTGTCCTGACGGGCCTTCCCTCCCAGCTTCAAAAAGGGAGTGCCTGGCTTCCTTCTCCCACTTTTCCCAGGAAGGCACAGCTGGCTGGATCTATGCGGAGGGAGGCAGCCGGAAAGTGAGGAAGGAGCTGCCATGGGTAGGTTTCAGGGGCCACCTACAGGGAATGGGGCTGGAGCTGGAATGATTTCTTTATTGCCTGGGCTTTCCAGATGACAAATCTCACAGGTGCTGCCAGCTGCGCCGGCTGCCACGTCTTACACAGCTGTGTGATGGCATACAGTTCTGTAGGATCACATTTCCTGTGAACACTACAATTGATACATAACACTGAATTGGCTCACTGCTTCAGTGCTCTGGCAAGTCAATTATTATTTTTGTAAAATAGGTTTGTTTAGTGTGAGTCAAAGGGGAATGGCTATAATGTATATGTGTTGTTGTGGCTGGGATTTAGATGGGTTTTTTTTTAGCATTTTGAGTGTCTGAGGATTATGAGGGTGGCAGTCCATTCCAGAGCAAACAGTGTGGGCACAGGGTGCCCACTGCCAGGCCCACTTCAGTGGAGCTTACCTCCGACTCCACCCCAGTGGGGGTCCCACCTTTTCCACTGAAGTGATGAAACTGAACTTGCTGGGGGAGGCTTCTGTGTGTGCCTGCAGGCTTGGCATACCAGGGAAACATGAGAATCCCTGCGCCCTCAGGTAACTGCTAGGACAGAGCAAAAAGAAAGGTAAATCAGGCTTCATTGTTACTGATGTAACTGTTATTAAGGCATAATTAATAAAAGGGTCCCTGCCCCCATTTTTACTGATGGTTCCCCTTGGCCACAGTCTCTGTCAGAGCATCACTGGGCCCCTCTGCCTCCACCCAGGGCCCCCCTGGCCCAGCCAGGTCTCCCTCTGAACTTTTGCCTGGCTAAAGAGCTTGGCTTGGCCTTCAGTGTATGTTCAGTGCTTCTGGTTTTAGCAGAGTGCTGTGTGAGATTCGGTTACCATTGGGAGAAGTTGGAGCTTATCCACTTACCTTTCCTCCGCTCTTTCCAGACACAGTCTGCGCTTTGAAGCTCCATGTCCAAGCACCCCCCCTTTTTTGCTTTCCCCACAAAAACCCGCTCTTTAAAGCTCAGTTGGAGCAAACAGCAATATGTGGAAAACCAAAATTGATGTTTGATCTGATTGTGCCCTAAAGAGCAGGTTATTGTGGGGGAAAGTCCAGGTCAAAAATGAAGAAACCATGCTTGGGCAATGAGCCTTTAAGCATGGACCTGTACCTAGAAAAAATGGGGCAAAAGGTTAATGTGGGTAAGCCCCCAGAGAGTAGGGCTTGTGGATTTGGTGAAGGCTGCTCTCTGTCCTGCCTTACTGCACCCCCAGGAGAAAGAACTTAGGATGTACCATCTGGTTACTGGGGTCCACTTAAGGTTGCTTTGGGGACCAGCTGGAAGTTGATGCACTGGTCACTGGCTGGCCATTGCTGCTTTATGGAAGGGGCCCCAGCCTCACAACCCTGTGAAGAAGCTGCTTCTGGGACAAGGGAAGTAAATACCAATCACCTGTTTGGAAAAGGTTAGGCCAACCTGGTGGCCTTCAGATATTTTGGGCCACAGGTCCCATCAGCCCCAGCTGGCTGTTGCCATCCATAACTGCTTCTTGTGAATGGTTTCCTGCCTCGTTCCAGGTGCTTATGCAATAATCTCAGCAATATTAAATTATCACCAGTTATAACAGTTATCCCTGTTTAACATACACGTAAGCTCTAATTATCACGGACCTCTTGTTTTTTTGTGTTTTTTTACATTGCACTGCCATTCAACTCCCACTTCATGGTTTGTATCCAACATTAGGCCACGTTTGCACCATACATTTAAAGCACTATGGGACCACCTTAAACAGTCATGGCTCCCTCCAAAGAACTCTGGGTGCTGTGGTCTGTTATGGGTGTTGAGTGCAGAGCTACAATTCCAGGAGTTATTAAACAATCAATCCCCCTTCCCAGGGAGCTCTAGGAATTGTAACTCTAAGAGAGATATGGGTCTCCACACCCATAACAAGCTACAGCTCCCAGGATTCTTTGGAAGAAGCCACAAAGTTTTTAAAGTGGTATCATAGTGGAGATTGTGGATCTCCCTCTGTGGAGGCTTTTGAGCAGAGGTTGGATGGACATCTGTCATGGATGCTTTAGTTTAGATTCCTGCATTGCAGGGGGTTGGACTGGAGGACCCTTGGGGATGCTTCCAACTCTACAATTCCAACCGTACAATGTTCAGTATGAATGTGGCCTTAGACCGCAGTGCCAGATTTAAGGTGGTACAAGCAGTTCCCCTGCACAGGGTGCCGAGCCGAGGGGGTGAAAAATAGTGCACTTGATAGCATGCAGAGAATGGAAGGCAAGAGGTGGGAGGCTGCTTCAATAAACTCGAATTTCACTAAGCACCTGCAAATTTAGGTTGCACAACTGCAGCTGATTGGGAGGTTTTGTGCAATGATCTTGCTTCTCTCAAAAGATTAGGCTTTTGCAATAAGGAAGGTGATGGGTAAATGCACTGGAAGGTGTGGACTAATGATTCTTTGGTGCAGGTTGTGTACACACTAGATATTAAAGTACATTCTTTCCCTCAAAGGACTCGGGGCTCTGAAGTTTAACCCTCATAGAATTACAATTCCCAGCAACCCGTAATAAACTACAGTGCTCAGAATTCTTTGAGGGGGAAACGTCCTTTAACGGTTCAGTGTGTGCATAGCTGCAATGTTGCCTAACCTCCCTGAGGGCCCATCGGAATGAATGCTCTACAGAAAGGTCATCTGGGAGTGCCCATAGCTGAGCGAGGCTGCTGGTATTTTGGGGAAAACCTTCTTCCTGCTTCTCTCTCTCTCTCCTCCTCCTCCTCCAGAGGTCTTGGTCTTGGTGGACTTTGACGGGCAGCTGGGTGATGAGCTGAAGATCACTGCCGGCGACATCATCCAGAAGGTGCAACCAGGCCCTGAAGAGGGATGGCTGCAAGGGGAGCTGGAGGGCCAGGTGGGGCTCTTCCCTCGCCAGTTTGTGCAGGTGAGCATTTACACCCCTTCCCACTCCAGGCCTAGGCATGTCTCCTCGGAAGTAGCTTAGTCCCAGGTAAGTGTGTGTCTAGGGTGTGTTAAGTGTGCTCTTGAGAAGCATGAGGAACAAGTGGAGACAGACGTGCGTGTTTGCAAACATGCCTGTCGCACCTGTCTCAGAAGGGCCATTGGCTCAGTGGGTAGGACATTGGCCTTCCATGCAGAATCTCTGGAATCTCCAAGTAGGGCTGCGAACATCCACTGCTTGAAACAACTGCAATTCAGTGTAGACAGTATTGAGGTAGATGGACCTATAGTCTGACTTAAAAAAAAGCAGGTTCCTATTAGGGAGCAACAATTGGGTATGATTACTGAGTGACCTGTCAGCAGGGAAACTGGGATTTGCCATGGCCTAAATGCATGAAAGGGACGTGGGTGGCACTGTGGGTTAAACCACAGAGCCTAGGGCTTGCCGATCAGAAGGTCAATGGTTCGAATCCCCACCACGGGGTGAGCTCCCGTTGCTCGGTTCCTGCTCCTGCCAACCTAGCAGTTCGAAAGCACACAGTGCAAGTAGATAAATAGATACCGCTCCGGCGGGAAGGTAAACAACGTTTCCGTGAGCTGCTCTGGTTCACTAGAAGCGGCTTAGTCATGCTGGCCACATGACCCGGTAGCTCTACGCCGGCTCCCTCCGCCAGTAAAGTGAGATGAATGCCGCAACCCCAGAGTCGTCTGCGACTGGACCTAATGGTCAGGGGTCCCTTTACCTTTAAATGCATGAAAAGGCCTTTCGTTAGCCCTGGGACCTGTGCCCAGTGCCATTATCCAGCAATGAACATGAGATTCCCTCACTGGAAAAGAGTGCCTCTGAGCATGTGACATGCGCCATATACCTCTTACCCCTGAGCTCCTACAGAGTGAGCACACACACATACAAACAAACTGATGGCTAGCACAGCTGTGTCTGTCTCCCGACCCTCAGCACCTGCCACCTTAGGTGCCTGCCTCACTCTGCTGAATGGCTGGACCAGCTCTCTGGCAGCCAGATGCAAAAGCGGACAGGCACCTCCTACATCTTTAATTGCTGTATAGCTGAGGGAATTTTGGCAGGTGTGACTTGCATGACAGATTTCCTCTTCTTTACAACTATTAAAGGTGCAAGAACACCACAGAGCGAGAGACAGAGTGTCTCCGTTTTCAAATAAATTTATTTGGAATTTGGGAGAGGTCAGAGGAAAGGTTTTTCAAACCCAAACTGAGCCCTTCTGGCACTGGGCATTAGAGCAGTGAAGCAGTTCTCTAGCAACAGTGTCCCAAGGAACAACTTCAAGGCACACAACGCCATGACCTTGCTGAAGCTAAGCAGGTCTGGTTCTGGTCAGTACCCAGACTGAAAACTGTGTGGAACCAAACATATGCCGCCTTGAGTTCCATGAAGGAGGAATGGGGGGAGGGGCGGATAAAACCAATAAAGTGTCCGGGTGAATAGTCATGTAGAAGAGGGAACCTACACCTTGCATGACAAGCTGCCCTCTTCTATAATAACAGTCAAAGGTCTGGGAGCCCCTTCTTCCTTTCCACCCGAGGCCTGGTCCTCCAGACTTCTCCTCCCTCTTCAGCTTTGTTCTATTCCTGCAAAATAACAAACTGGGTATTTGCCTCCTGCTGGAGTTCATGGCCAAATAATGCAAATTATTTCCCCAGCTAATTTGCACCCCTGAGGACAATTTGTTTAAAGGGAAGCTGCATGGAGCTGGGTAAGATGTGCTTTGTTCCCCCAGTTTCACCTTGTAAGGGCTGCAACACACCCATGTCTGTCACCTGCCTCCTGCCAATGTTTGCCTGGCCTTGCGGCTGCTCAAACAAGACAGCTGGGCTGGCTGCA